CACCATGTCCTTAGCTTATCTCAACAAATCCTTGAATGTTGCCCAGAACTGGCCCTTAGCTTTGAAATTTTACTTTGTGAAAACTTCAGGCCATAATTTCATTGGACCGGAGCATCTTCTTCTCGGGTTGCTTAGTTGGCATGACAGAGGAAAGCTAGCATCTGTTCTTCATGATCTAGGAATCGACTTTAGAAAACTTCGCGCACAGGTAAAAATACATTCATCGACTTGATCTTGTTTCAAATGCCTGGTTTATTTTTAGCTCAATTGTCTACTAATTTGACCAGGTTAATCGTATGGTTGGTGAAGGCAATGTGTTTAGCGTTGTTACTGAAGGGATCAACTTGATTGAGCTGGCTGAGGAGAATTTCACTAATTTCTTTATCTTCTTACTTGACTTGATCCAGTATATTGGAGTTTTGACGATCGATGGATACAGTGAGCATATCGAGAAAGACCCGATTTTGGCAAGGCCAATCAAAGTTCCTGAACCATCACAAACTATGTGATTACGAAAATGAGGCCTTTGTTGCTGCATTGCTGTCGGACCAGTACATTAGGTAGGAGGTCTTCAAATTTTCATTCGAGTATCTGTTTTCTGTATGTACCTCACCTTGATTTCTGCATACTTCAGTGATCGTATTCTACCTGATAAAGCAATCGATTTGATCGATAAAGCCGGAGCTCATGTTTCCGCCTGTCATGAAGAGGTGTGCTAGTATTACAATCTAATCTTTCTTTTACAAGTTGATTTCATGGAACAATTGTTGTTGCAGATCCTTGATGTAGTTACAGAGCTTAGAAGAGAGCTCAGCCAGCGCATAGAGGCAAAGAAGGAAGAAGGCCGGAGCCGGGACTTAGAGAAGGTACAAAACTTTACGAGATCATTTTTATGTTAAGGAGGCAATAGGTTTGTGGAAAAGATCAATATCATTTTTACAAGATCACTATCCATTCTTTTAACAGTTCAGGGAATTACACAATCTAGAAATGAAGATTGGGTTTCAGACCCGTATATTCGGTAAGATGAGCGAGGAAGATATTATGACTGTGCGAAATGTGGACATTCAAGGTATAGTTTCTTCATGGACTGGTATTCCTATCGAGAAAGTAATATACGATGACTCTGAATCTAATTGGCTCCGTAAGATGGAAGAGACTTTTCATAAGCGAGTCATTGGTCAGGATGAAGCGGTGTAAGCCGTCAGCCGTTGTGTCCATAATGATCTCTGCGAATTGTTTAGACGCCATATTCAGCCAATTACTAGCTTCATCTTTTTCGGTCCAACTGGTGTAGGAAAGTCGGAATTAGCAAAGGCACTAGCGGCTAGCTATTTTGGCACCGAAGAAGCTGTTATCTAACTTGATATGAGGGAGTTCATGGAAAGTCACACAGCGTCCAATCTCATTGGATCAACCCCTGGGCATACTGAGTGGGGTCGACTAACTGAGGCTGTTCAGAGACGACCGCACACAGTAGTGCTTTTCAAAGATATTGAGAAGGCCCATCTCGATGTCTTAAACATGATCGATCAGATACTCACAAATGGAAGGTTCACAGACGAGAAAGGAAGAATCATGGATTTCAGTAATACCCTCCTGATAATGACATCTAATGCCGGAAGTAGTGTAATCGAGAAGGGTCTCGATGGAGACTGCTTTTACGATAGAAGGAAGAGCCTAGTGATAGAAGAACTGAGACAACGGCTCGGGCATAACTTCGTGATTGGACTCAGGGTAATTGTTTTTAGGCAGCTCACCAAGTTGGAGGTGAAGAAGATTTCTGATACAATGCTTATTGGGGTGTTTGACAGGCTTAAAGCAAAAGAAATTCAGCTCGGTGTCACTTAAAGGTTCCGAGATAGGGTGGTGGAAGAAGCATAGGACTCAAGCTACGGAGCATGGCCGTTGAGAAGAGCCTTTAGACTCGTCGAAGACATGGAAGAGAAGATGGTTGATAGGAAAATCAAGGAGGGTGATTCAATCACCGTGGATGCAGACTCTGATGGAAATGTTGTGCTTCTCAACGGTACCAATCATTGGCTGATCCAAAGTTGTCTTAGGACCTAATTAGTATTTAATCTCAAAATTTGGAAATGCGAAGATTTAAAGTTTATAAACTTACAGGGATCAGAATTATTATTAAAAAATAAATAAAAAATTGGATTTTACAGAATCCGCGAGTTTCGTATAATACAGGTACTAAATGCAGTATTTGACCAACCACTTTCAATTTGGATTTTTCATCCGGGTCCATCTTTACACACCATCCAACACTTCATTTTTCTCTATAATGTACCCGAACAAGAGAATGATAATAAAACCCTGCAAGGACCATGTGAAAAACATTAAACATGTTTTGTGACATAAAATCATGTCCTAAAGAAGATGGTTAATTCTCTCAAAATCTACAACACATGGTTGACTGAACATAGTGATCAATCACATCAATTTTACTAAAAGTGAGCCTCCAATATACATCTAAAGAGTAAGAGTGAAATTAAGGATTGTACATATTGGATGACCAAGTGATCGAGTTAAGTTCGAACAGTTCACGCACTCATTAAACATCCCTAAGTCTAGTTATGATTTTATTCCCTCTCCTATAGAATTTAATGATTCTACTTCAATTTAGTATGCTTTGGTCCTATATTTTTTTTTCTCAATTATTGTTATTTGTTGCCGTTAAAATGATAATTTTGATTTTTTAAGTAAATATTTTTAATTAGGCCAGGTCATCTTTTTAACACGTGGCAAAATGCTAAACAAGCTAGTAGTACAAAGTATACGAGCCACATTGCTTAGACTATAATACAAAGAGAAAATTAGCTGTCAAGCCATAAATAATAAAATACATTTGCACTCACTCTAATTGTATCGATAACTGCTTTTATAAAAAAAATCCAAGAAAATGGTTCACAATATGTAAACACTAGTAATATTTTTTTTAATTTATCACCGGTATCTAATCTATTGATCAATTAATCCAGATTAAATACTGCAGAGGCGGAGATGACACTCCCAATACAGTTTGCTCCATTCGCAAACGTTAGGGTTCGAACCCCTAACCTTGATTAAGGAATCTAATGCCTCATCCCACTAGATCAACTAGTTGCTGGTAAACACTAGTAATATTTTAATTGCACATCATTATATTATAAAATATTACACGTCATTGGCATGTGTATGCAACGTGGCATATTTAACAGAAGCCGGAAAAAGGTGTTAACAATTGTATTTTACAAAACAAAATACATTAGATTAAGACTAAATTGCAACTTTTTAATATTACAAGGACTTGATACATGCTTAACACATCCTAATAGAGCAGATTTAACATGGAACATCAAAAAGGAAAAAGATAAGAGATCGTATGCAGGGGAAGAGAGAACATCAAGGTAGAGATTTTTTCCACATTTTTCCTACACAGAATAACAAAGCTCACGTGAAATTAATATATATTCATAAATCATCTTATAGATTTAAGCAATAATTAGAATTGATATGTTGATATAGATTGCAGATCATCAACTATATAGTGATCATATTACCTTAACATGTGTTCTGCAAAATTGTAAAGTTTCTGGGTAGGGCGAGTCGAGCGTATTGTTGATATTGACTCAATTAAAAAATTTTAACGTTGATATTAACTTGAGTTGAAAACTCGCGAGCGTATAATTGTTAAGTTCGAATCGAATTCAAAAGAAAAAATTAAAGCTCGACTCAAATCAAAATGTGAGCTTAAAATTTTCAAACTCTTCTTGAAATAAAAAATTGAGACTCGACTTAAACTCGAAACCGAACCATAAGTACACGAAAACCATAACTACACGAAACATGGTACTACTTTATTTTGTCCATCGACTATTAAAAGTTACAAAATGGTCCTTCGATTATAAAATGTTGCTTTGTTGGGTCCCTTAATTATTAAAAGTTATAAAATGATCATCCAACAATTCATTATATTCTAAACTCGCCATTTTCTGTTTAAAAATTGATAATATTCTGAGCTGATTATTAACGTGCTGATTGTGATATGATAAAATCTAATCCCAGAAGCTCAAACGACTACCATATCCCAATCATCATGTTAACATCTAGCTTAGATAACAGTTAATTTTTTAACGGAAAAGGATGATTTTGGAACATAATAAATAGTTGTGTGATCATTTTGTAACTTTTAATAGTCAAGGGATTCAATAAAGAAACTCTCTATAATTGGAGGATCATTTTATAATATTTAATAGCTGAGAGATTTAGTAAAGAAAGTCTACAATTAGGGGACCATTTGTGTATTTTCCTGTAATACCTCAATCATCGGGACAATGACTTTATTGTAAGGTTTTAAAATTTGGTGGGTTAATTTGAATTAATTGAAAAGTACATGGAATGATTTAGGAAATTGTATTTAAGACTTATTAATAAGAATGAAAGAATGGAACAATATTATGGTCTTTTAGAAGGAAATGAATTTAATATTCATTCTTTTAGGGATATTTATTGAGGGTTGAAAAGGGGAAAAATGATAAGCTGAAAACTTGGTTCTCTACTCTTATTCTTCTTCTTCTCGTCCCCGTACTCTTTATAGCAAAGGTAAGATTTCTTCAAGTTGGTTTTTCCTTTCGTTTTTGGGTTGGTTTTGAAGCCTTAAGTGATATAAAGGCTTAAGGAAAGTTCAAGGATGATTAAAACTAAGAGATTGATGACTTATTAGAGATTTAATAAAATGAGTTTTTAAGTGATTTGATGAAATATGGTTAGTTATTGGAGTTTAAAAGCATATTTGACTTGTCAAAGAAGTAAATAAGAGATTTGGAGCCTTAGAAGTGTTTGAAAACAAGTTTGAAAATTTTGGTGTGATTTTTAGTTTTAAGTGTTCTTTGAAAATTTTGGATATTATAAGGAGATTTATGGATGTAAGTTCGTTTGGATAAGTGATGATGAGTTTGATGGTATGGTTGGAGATAAGAGTATGAGATTTAGGTGAAATTTGGGTAAAAATCGAAGTGAAATAAGTAAAATCTGGGTAAGGGTATCTGCACTGGAAGAACAATACCGATACTATAAGGTTAAATTGGAGGAAAAAGTATGAACACGATGAACAATATCGATAATGATAAAAGTAGTATCGATACTAATGTGGAGGTATCGATACCAAGAGAAAGGTATCGATACTGTAATTGAAAAATGGAATTCCAGAATGTAAAATTGATATCAATACTAAAATGGGTATCGGTACCATAGAAGAGAAGTATCGATACTGTAGGAGGAGTACCGATACTATTCAGTTTGAAATTTAAGTGGATGGGTTGTTTTGTTTATGTAAATGCAAATTTGTTAATATTTGATGTATATTATTGGAAATTACTGGTTGAAGGCTTTAAGGGAAAAAATTATGACAAGGGTTCATTATGAATAAAAAGGAAAAGTTAAGATGAATTTTAAAAGAATTTGGGAAAAATGGTACTTTTGAGTATTATTATATTGTATAAATTTTAGTAAGGATACTAACATTGTATTTTATATTTGTATATGTGATTATGGATGTTTATGTAGTTCGTGATCAAATTTGTGATTCAAGCAAATCAAAAGGCAAGGAAAAAGTTCAAGAATAGTTAGACTTCGTCAGTAAGACATAATTGTGAGGCATACCAGGTGAGTACATTACTATGTACTTATATGAGATGATGGTGACTTGCGATGAGTTAATCTCGAATGTTTTGATAAAAGTATGGTTTACAGTATTTTGATATATTTTCATAATGTTTATGGAAATGATTTTACGAATAATTTTAGAGTATAAATTGCTCTAAAATGAATGGATGAACTTTTATATTATTTTAACAGTTATTGATGTTTCAAAAATAAATGTTTAATCTGCTAATTTGACTTAAAGGCCCATTGTATGTGCATTGAGAGTCATAGGTGCATTTCGGCATACTTTGTGTATGAAGGTTATCGATCGATTTTGTTTAATGCATATGTTGCATTTTCATATCAGTACTATTTGTACTTTCGACACTAAGTGTGAACCATGGTATTCATAATGAGTTTGTGAATTACCATTTCGACATATATTTGTGTATGAAGGTTATCGATCGATTTTGTTTAATGCATATGTTGCATTTTTGTATCAGTACTATATGTACTTTCGGCACCATGTTTGCATCTATGGAATTCATAATGAGTTTGTGAATTTCCATTTCGACATTTAGGTGCGACTCATGTACCATGCATTCTCATTCACATACATTGGGAAAATAAAAGAATAATTTGGAAAAATAATGATTAATAAGTATGCTGGGCATACTAAATATTGTTTCGCAGGTTATGTGAAAGAAACTTGGTTTACCAAGCCAATTTTATTTATTATTATGATTTATATGATTAAATTCGTATTCTGATATTTTATGATATACTTATGTTTCAGTTAAGTCTCTTTTATATTATTATGCCTCACTAAGTGAATACTTAGTGTGTATTGGTTTCACGTGTAGAAAAAAACCAATATTAGAAGTAAAGAGTACTGAACAACTCCAAGCATCAAGGAATATACTACAATATCAGTAAAACATCCTATAATGTAAATTTTGACTTAGTTTAGTGGCATGTACTTATGAGTGTCCTATTTACTCTGTTTAATATATATATATATATATATATATATATGTGTGTGTGTGTATTTGAAGAATGTTTTATAAACTATATTATTAAATTGTTTTATCTAAAGACATAAAATTTTACTGGTTTTCAAGTATCGAAATGTTTTGAAAGTCATGTGACATATGTGACTCATGTACGAGAATATATATGGGAAAATAGTGTTACATTTATTGGTATCAGAGCTACAGGTTTAACCATTTCTGGACACGAAATGAGTATTAATTTTGTTAAAAATGTATACATGTCACTAGGATGTCAAAAGTTTACTGATAGTTGTATATATACTGTGATGATGCTTATTAGGGAGTAAAATTACTCTTTACTATTGTAAGATGATTTTGACAATGTTCATATGTTGGAAACTAAAGACAAAGGTAAGAAAGTTGATAATGTTGAAAAAAGGTCGAGATCGAAATCGACCCAAAAAAATTTGACATGAATTCAGTATCACGCCTTAGAATGACAGAAGCTGCTAGGGATTTCCCTCCATTATGTGGAAGAAATGCCCCAACGTTTAACGAAGTTTCTGCATTAAGGAATCCATTAAAAAGTTTGAATGACTTACAAGAGAAATTGAATCGAATAAGGATCCAGAGGAGATTTCTGAATCTAGTGATGACTCTGAGGTTTCTTCAGGTAAGCTTAAATAATTGAGAAATATTTAAGTTAAGAATTAAATGATTTAAAGCATTGTTGAGTTGAGTAAGAGGAAATGAGTAAGCGGTAAATACATTGTCAGCTAAAAGTTTAAAGAAAGCTGAGTTATTAGTGAATCAAATGATTATGAGTTTGTTTGAGAATAGATGTTAAGTTTTATGGACTTGATAGAGTTACATTTTGAAGGTAAATTTGCGAAAATGGTTTGTCTACCCATTCTATGCTACAATGATATCATTGCTTAGATTGAGATTGACTCTCGAGAACTTGAAAAGTGTGAACTTCGTAATAATAGGAAAAAAATAAATTTTTTTACTAGTGTAATTTTAGCATTAACTGCTATGAAGTTATTACTACGAAGTTGTCAAGTCTTCTTATTAAATGATGTTGATATTTAGACTTTCATAGTTAAGATGAATTTTTTAACTGCTCGAGAATATTTTCAATGGATCTAGAAAAGTTATACGGATTACCTCAAGAAGGAAATAAATTTTTTTAAAATAAAGGTACTCTATTCAACTTGATCTCGAGTGATATGATAGCGGTAAACCCTTTGGAACATGGTGCAAGTGTGAGTAGGACATATAGTAAATATGCGATAAAGACTCAAGGGGCTATGTTCCCGGTGAATCTGATGGAATTATCATTTGATGAGTTTAAGATCATGTTGGTTGGGTTGTTTGTCTCAAGAAGCAATTGTTTCAGAAAAATACGAAGGATTTGGAAAATATAGTTATTGGAGAAAAAATAAAATCATTGTCCAAGGTGATATCAACACTGATTGCAAAAAAATTATGTCAGAAAGATGTATAGCTTTTCTGGCTAATGTGATAGCTACTCAAGTATTTAAAGTAGGATAGTATGATATTCCCACAACTCAGGATTTTATAAATGTCTTTTTAGATTAATTACCTGGGTTACTTCCAGATCGAGAGGTGTAATTTAAAATTGATGGTTATCAAGGTATTGAACATGTTTCTATGGTTTCGTACCGAATGACTTGTAACATCCCAAACTATGGGTTAGTGACCAAATTGTAAAAGTTCAAAATTTAGTGATTAAAGTAGAATTTATTGAACAGTTCAGAAATTTAAAGTGATATATTCTGGTATTGGATTAAATTACGAGGAATGAAAGTATGAAGGGTAAGGTGGTCTTTTCATGTAAAAGATATTTATCTCTTATTTAACAGAGAAGCATGGGGGGTGAAGAAGTATTTGGAAGCTTATTTCCTTGTCTTTTTCTCATTCTTCTTTTCCCCGTAAGCCTCCATTAAAGGTGAGTTTTCTGGTTAGTTAATTATTTGTTGATTTTAAGAGTGGGTTATGATCCTTAGGTGATACTTAAGCTTAAGGAAATCTTAAGTTGTCTTATAATTAAAAGATGAAGAAGTTATAAGAGATTGAAGGGAATGAGTTTCTAAATAAATTTCTGGAGAAGAGTTGATAAGTTGAATTTGAAACTAAAATTGACTTGTTATAGGTATGAACAATAAGTTATAAGTGTTAAATCAAAGTTTTGATTACATGGAAAATTTAGTAAGATTCTTAGTTTTAAGAATTTGAATGAAGTATAGGAGATAATAAGGTGTGGGAATGATAGAAGTTAGTTAAAATGGTTGTAGTTGAGTTTGGTGGTATGAACGGAGCTTTGTATGAGGAAATTCAGTGAAGAGTTGATAAAGTTTCGGATGAAAAAGCATGTTTTGGGAAGAGTGTATCGTTATCCTATGTATGTGTATCGATACCCTCTTGAACAAAAAATAACAGAATGCAGTAAGGGTACTGATACCTCAAGGGGTATATCGATAGCCCCTAAAGGAAAAAGTGAATATTGGTCTATTAAATTCGTTTAAGTTATTAGAATCAAATTACAAGGTGTAGATATCTGATAATTACTTTAAAATGTATATTTATGTAGATTCTGAGCCTAAAGCAATTCTGGAACATTTGGGAAGTAAGAACGATCGGGGGAAAAACAAAGAGATCCAGGTGAGTGCATCTTATTTTAATATAGGATTATATGGAAATTTGACTTGCGATAAGTCTATTTCCTCTAAGTCTAGTGTATGAAGTCATAAACATAAGTATGTGAATGACATGAAATGTATGTATGCTTGATTATATGAGTTGATATGTTCTGGTATGTGCTATGTGTTTTATGTGAGTATAAAAGATAAGTCATGTGATAAGATCTATGTGATATATGGAAATGAAAATATATGAATATGAAGAGTTATAAGAGAATAAATATAAATTATATGATAATGAAATATAAGACTATGTGAATATATGGTTATAAGATAAAATGTGTAATAATAAGAAAATATGATGAAAGTAAATTCCTGAGAACAATAGGAGCTAGGTAAACATGTGTAAAGGTTATATAAATAATAGAAACATGAATGATACAAGTACATAGTGATATGATTTATGGAGAATTGAAGAAAACTAGATAAGATTGAATTATAGAATGAACTGAGAATAATATATCACTTAGGAATTTTGAATATAAAGTGATGATATGCACATAAAATATAAGATATATGTTTATAAATATGACATATGTTATGTGTTATGTGTTATATGATAAATATGAACATATGAGAACAAGAGACGAAATAAGTGACATTGTGATAGAAGCTATATGACCATGAATGATGTAAATAGGAATAATTTAAGTACTACGTAACTATGAGTATTTGAGTATGTTTCTATGTGATGTGATATATGAGGTCATATGAAATATTAAACGACTATGTGATTATATGAAAAAGAATATAGGTACATGTGAATTATATGGAAATGAACTACGTGATTGGATGTGATCTTATGAAAATTGATGATGAGCTATGTGAACGAACTATGAGATTATGTGTATATGTGATTATGAGAAGAAAAATATGAACATATGAATGTATGTCTTTGAGAAGTCATAATAATAAGATGTAAGAAAGGTGACAAGAAATGTGAAATGACATGAAAAGTTGATATAAGCTATGAAAAAGTGTTCTATGTGACTATATGTATATGTGATCCAAGTTATGTAACATAAACTACGTGATATGTGAAAGTGAACTACGTGTTATTTGAAATGATAAGTATAAAGATAATGCCCATGTTATGTGTCATGAGATCTAGAGGTATAGTTGGCATGCCAAGAGTCGAGGGTCTACGCGGTCCTTTGAGACAATTCTACGTGGTCCTTCGGGACATATAAGTATTCTTTGGAACATGTATGAGGTCTTTTGAGACACCTACTTGATCCTTGGTATATGTATATGATTCTTAAGGAATTTCTATGTGGTCCTTATGGACAATTTTATATGGCACTACGGTGCATTTCTACGCGGCACTTCGGTGTAAATTCTACGTGGTACTTCGGTGCATTTATACGAGCTGTGGTGACAGCATTTGTGCACAACCTCAATGTACTCACATACCTTAAGTTCTCAAAAAGTATACATGGGCTAATAAAGCAATAATATAAATATATTGTATGTGATATGTGTATGTGTGACATGTTATGAGGAATGGATTACAAGGATTATATGATGATATGTGTGATTCTTTTTTAATGATAATATATATGCAGGTAGATAATTGTTGCATGATAGAATATAAGTTGTTGTGTGTGTATTGTTTAATTAAAAATGACTAAAAGATATAAATGATAATGGAATCAGGTAAGGATGTAAATGATGAGTTATGTATATGAATATATTTAATTATATGAAATGTTATATGGTTTTGTATGATATGATAGTATTAATTGTACATGCATTGTTATAAGTAAGAGTTTACATTATATGTTTTATATGTCTCACTAAGTCAACGAGTTAGCGTGTGATTGTTTCACACGTAGGTTCGTACAAGAAGAAGGAGTAAAGTTAAGCAAGACATGGCAGTTCTCCTTTCCAAAGATCAGATCAGAAAAGATTTGAAAAGTATGTATTCTGTAATACTGATTGTGGTTGGCATGTAAATAAAGATTTGAATCTGATATGTTCTAATCGGTTTTGGTCAAATCATATTATTGAGTTTTGTAATGTTTTAAACGTATTTATGTAAATGGTAAATTATAGTGATGAAAGTTTAAATTTTATGAGTTTTATACATGTTTTGCCGAAATTACTGTAGCAGGGTATCGATACCCCTGTAGCATTCTGGAAATTTTTTAGCAACTGTACTATTCATTACTGTTTACGGTACTATTCATATAATATAGTATTGTTCATAAAACATTTTTGTCTCAAAATATTTATAACGAAACATAATTCAACAGTATATTATAGTATTTTCTGAATATAAGTCCAAATGTTATGATATTTTGTAAGAATATTGTTTTAAAAAGTCAATGTGACATCTATGACTCGTATCCGAGTCGGGTACATGTTAGGGGGTGTTACATGACTTGTTCGAGTTAAGATAATTAGAGGCTTAATTATAAGAGTTGATTTATCAAGGTTTCATCATATCGAGTGTTTCACCTTGGGGAGTATTTGTGCTATTGGAGAAAAAAAAAGATGAATCTATGTGGTTATGCATATATTATCGACACTTAAATAAAATAACAATAAAGAATAAGTATCCTCTTCCGAGGATTGATGATCTATTTGATCAACTGAAAGGCACATCAATATTCTCTAAGATAAAACTTCGACCAAGATATCACCAATTAATGATTAAGAGGAGGATGTTCCAAAGACAGTTTTTTAGACTCAAT